AACGAGATTGAATATCATATTCACCAAATTTCTTAGCGTAGGTGGTACTCAATATGAACGCAAATACGGTGCAGTCGACTAAAACTACAGACGTCTTATACAATTCAACAAATTGAATTGATAATCGATAGGATCGGGAACTATATTTATGCCTTTAAAATCACAAACCCCTCACAACAGTGTGATTCCAACCAACCGACAGCTTGAAACCCACAGTTAAATGAGTAGGACACGTGTGTACTGTTCAGTAGTTACGTGACTAGTGAACGTTTGTACGCACAGCACGATAGGCAGGTGGTTAGTGTCCTATTTATGTATGAAATTCAGGTAAGCAAGAAACGTGTGTACGGTTTGAAATTCATGTGACTGATACTTGCACATTACAACAGACATGTGACAATGATACTAGTGTACATTACCACAGTCATGTGACAATGATACTTGTATACATTACCACAGTCATGTGACTAGGGTACTTGTGTCCATTACCACAGTCACGTGACTAGGATACTAGTGTACATTACAACAGTCATGTGACTATGATACTTGTGTACATTACGATGGTCAGGTGACTAGGGTTCTTGTGTCCATTACGACAGTCATGTGACTTTGATACTTGTGAACATTACGACAGTCATGTGACTAGGACACTTCTGTACATTACGACATTCATGTGACAATGATACTTGTGTACATTACGACAGTCATGTGACGAGGATAATTGTGTACATTACGACAGTCATGTGACAATGATACTTGTGTACATTACGACAGTCATGTGACGAGGATACCTGTGTACATTACGACAGTCATGTGACTAGGGTTCTTGTGTCTATTACCACAGTCATGTGACGATGATACTTGTGTATATTACGACAGTCATGTGACTTTGATACTTGTGAACATTACGACAGTCATGTGACTAGTATACTTCTGTACATTACGACAGTCATGTGACTAGGATACTTGTGTACATGTACATTACGACAGTCAGATGACTAGAATACTAGTGTATATTACGACAATCATGTGACTATGAGTATGTGTACATTGCAACAGTCATGTGACTAAGATACTAGTGTACATTATGGCAGTCATGTGACAAGGATACTTTTGTACATTACGACGGTCATGTGACTATGATACTAGTTTCGGTACGACAGTCATGTGACTAGGATACTTGTGTACATACCGACAAGCATGTGACTAAGATACATGTTCGTGTGTACATTACGACAGTCATGTGACGAGGATACTTGTGTACATTACGACAGTCATGTGACTAGGATACTTCTGTACATTACGACAGTCATGTGACTTTGATACTTGTTAACATTACATGTGACGAGGATACTTTTGAACAGTACGACAGTCATGTGACTAGGATACTTGTGTACATTACGACAGTCTGGTGACGAGGATACTTGTGTACATTACGGCAGTCATGTGACAATGATACATGTATACATTACGACAGCCATGTGACTTTGATACTTGTGAACATTACGACAGTCATGTGACGAGGGTACTTGTGTACATTACGAAAGTCTAGTGACTAGGATACTTGTGTAAATTACGACAGTCATGTGACAAGGATACTTTTGTACATTACGACGGTCATGTGACTATGATACTAGTGTACATTACGTCAGTCATGTGACTAGGGTACTTGTTTACATTACGACAGTCATGTGAGTAGATAATTGTGTACATTACGACAGTCATGCGACTAGGGTACTTGTGTCCATTTACACAGTCATGTGACAATGATACGTGTGTACATTACGACAGTCATGTTACTAGGGTACTTGTGTACATTACGCCAGTCATGTGACTAGGATACTAGTGTACATTACAACAGTCATGTGACTATGATACTTGTGTACATTACGACAGTCTGGTGACGAGGATACTTGTGTACATTACGACAGTCATGCGACTAGGATTCTTGTGTACATTACGACAGTCAATTACCACAGTCATGTGACAATGATACATGTATACATTAAGACAGTCATGTGACCAGGATACTTGTGTACATCACGACAGTCATGTGGCAATGATACATGTATACATTACGACAGTCATGTGATGAGGATACTTGTATACATTACGACAGTCATGTGACTGGACACTTCTGTACATTACGACAGTCAAGTGACAATGTTACTTGCGTACATTACGACAGTCATGTGGCAATGATACATGTATACATTAAGACAGTCATGTGACCAGGATACTTGTGTACATTACGACATACTAGTGTACATTACCACAGTCATGTGACAATGATACGTGTGTACATTACGACAGTCATGTTACTAGGGTACTTGTGTACATTACGACAGTCTGGTGACGAGGATACTTGTGTACATTACGACAGTCATGTGACTAGGGTACTTGTGTACATTACGACAGTCATGTGACTAGGGTACTTGTGTCCATTAACACAGTCATGTGACAATGATACTTGCTTACATTACGACAGTCATGTGACTTTGATACTTGTGAACATTACGACAGTCTTGTGACTAGGATACTTCTGTAAATTACGACAGTCATATGACTAGGATCCTAGGGTACATTACGCCAGTCATGTGACAATGATCCTTGTGTACATTGCGCTGGTCAGGTGACTAGGGTTCTTGTGTCTATTACCACAGTCATGTGACGATGATACTTGTGTATATTACGACAGTCATGTGACTAGGATACTTCTGTACATTACGACAGTCATATGACTAGGATACTAGTGTACATTACGACAGTCATGTGACTAGGATTCTTGTGTACATTACGACAGTCATGTGAGTAGGGTTTTTGTGTCCATTACGACAGTCATGTGACAATGATACTTGTGTATATTACGACAGTCATGTGACTTTGATACTTGTGAACATTACGACAGTCATGTGACTAGGATACTTCTGTACATTACGACAGTCATGTGACAATGATACTTGTGTACATTACGACAGTCATGTGACTAGGATACTAGTGTATATTACGACCGTCAGGTGACTTGAATACTTGTGTACATAACCACAGTCATGTGACTAGGGTACTTGTGTACATTACGACAGTCATGTGACTAAGATACTAGTGTACACTACGACAAGTATGTGACTAGGATACTTGTGTACATAACCACAGTCATGTGACTAGAATACTTGTGTACATTATGGCAGTCATGTGACTAGGATATTTGTGTGCATTACGACGGTCATGTGACTAGGATACTAGCTTCGGTACGACAGTCATGTGACTAGGATATTGGTGTACATTACCACAGTCATGTGACTAGGATACTTGTGTACATAACGGCAAGCATGTGACTGGGATACTTGTGTATATCACGCCAGTCATGTGACTATAGGGTACGTGTGTACATTACCTCAGTCATGTGACTAGGATACTTGTGTACATTACGACAGCCGTGTAACTAGGATAATTGTGTACATTCCCACAGTTACTTTTGGTGCCCCTACCAGTGCCTCCGGGCAGAACAATAAATTCACTCCGAGCAAGGACAAGCTGCGCCCTTGCCATTGCAATATTTGGGGTGCTACGTTTACTCATGGGATTTATGGGAATTATGGGATGCAGTGCATGAGATCATGATCATGTGGTGTGTTGTACGAGATCATGTGATGTGGTGTGCGTAATTATTGGATGCAGTGCATGGGATCATGTGATATAGTGGACGAGGTAATTTGATGGTGTACGAAATAATGATACATGCACAAATTTTAGAAAAAGAATAACACTCTGGAATCAAATAATTTGTAGCAAAAGTTGCGATGTCTTTTTTGGTCTCCTGGCTGTACAAAGGACTTCAGTTTCAATTAAAAACATCACATGGGATGTATGTTAAACGCAGAACAACACCTTTGATTTATGAGACAATGAAGATGAATTATTTAGGACAATAGCTGTGCGTGTGTTGGGAAGTGTAACGAAGGATCAATAACACGTCCCTGGTGACAACGGCTATCAAACAGGATACAACAATGTTCTATCATTTGGTATTGTAATCATAACGAAATATAATTGAAAGACAGTGACCGGCGCTCGATCTACAAAGTGGTAATAGGACAACTTAACCTCTCTACCATCTTCTGCATGAGAGGCATATGTCCTTTGTATGCTTTATATTGACTCTTTAATACTTCCAGCCTGTATTCATGAAACCGTACCAATGCTCAAGCATGGATTTTGTCAGTTATTTGGTAAAAATTTGAAAAGACTGAAATCTGAATACTATTTTCAGTGTTAACCTTTGACTTTGTGAACGTTTGACATGCTATAAGTAAGTTATAAAAATATGGTTTGAGCAAGAGTCCATCATTGAGCATGAGAATGGTTTCATGAAAAAAACCGGGCCCTGGTTTAAGACTTCTAAGACTGCCCGCATGTGGGCTTCACATCCCACGTACTCTAGTCAACTAAATCGTGCCGTTGAGGAACACTCATAACAGAAATTATTCTGTTTGTTAGAAAATCAGAGATATGTGGCTGCCGTTTTGTTTTGATTTTTGTTTTTTTCAATTGTGTCCTGTCGATTTTTACGATTTGACACAATGCGTAGACACGGGGTCTATATCAATTAGTGACCATAGTTTTAGCGTGTGTAATAGATAAGTAATATTTACCTATTACACCATTTGTGGTCATACCTATTAGTGGTTGTTGTTTCTGATGGGCTTGCTCCTCATGAACCGGTCACTTACGGCGATCTTGGCGTGTAGTGATCAGTAATTGCTGGCCCTGTCGATCTCAACATTCCAGCCAGACACTCTTGTGTGTCTGACAGCGTTAGTAAGCCATCTCCTCCTTCACAAATCCCCTCTCCTTTCGAATCCGTCAGTCCCTGTTACACTGGCCATTATCTCCGCAACTACGTAATCGGTTCTACCTCTCAGGCCGCCATTATTCATTAACTACCATCACAGTCGAGTTGCTGTCTATATAAGAGACGTTATTTTTTCATGTATTTACAGAAGATAACCGAACGGTAGACGATGTCATTGATTTGGACGATTCCAGCATCACAGGAAATGAGTCGCTTCTGGAGGCAGCAGACGGAAAAATCATCTTCGAGACATACCCCACAAAGCTGGTAGAATCATCACATGACATTATCAGCGATGACGTAGATGGATTTATTGGTTCTGGTTCCGGTTTGGAGGAAGAACCGAGGAATGTGACTGAATTAGAGCCCTTCACGTCTCTGAAAACATCAGGTCGGTGGACAATCATAACTTTATATGACATAATAACGAGATTTCAAATTGTAACACTACATCAAAAGGAAACCTTGATGGTCGCCAAGTTTGATGCGTATACGTTCAAGACAAGGAAGGTTACTCTAACAAAGGCAAATTAAACATAATACCTTTCAATTGAATGTCAATGCTGACTTAATGAAATCATCCACAGGCCCCTCTTTAATTTTGGTAACAAAAGTAAAGTGTCACGATCGTAAAATTATGAAAACGTTTATTGCAATGCACATAAAACATGAATAACTTCCTCCGGCTATACATACATGTACATGTACATGTTCTTAAAATGGCTAAGTGACCATACATTTAATCTGTCTTTCGTTACATGTGATTATAAATGTATATGACAGGACCGATAGACACTACGCCCTATGCTACCTCGTCACATGTGACCGATGAACACGACGATGATGATGTGGAGGCGTCGGCCAATATTGAGATAGTTACTGCTAAAAGCGACGAGAGCGTCACCGAGGAACCAAGTACGTCATCGTTATCTGTGTACCTTAACAAGAAAGACGTTATTTACATTTCCTTCTCAACATATTTGCTCAGACTATGATATAGAGTACAATTACCTAGATCTGAGTGTACAGTAACATACATGTATATATGATATAGGGTCGCATAACATAGAACATACGGTAGCATTACATAGAATATAGGGTAGCATTACATAAAACATACGGTAGTATTACATAGAATATAGGGTAGCATTACATATAATAAAGGGTAGCATTACATAAAATATAGGGTAGCATCATATAGAATAAAGGGTAGCATTACATAAAATATAGGGAAGCATTACATAGAATATAGGGGTAGCATTACATAAAATATAGGGTAGCATTACATAGAATATAGGGTAGCATTACAAAGAACATACGGTAGCATTACATAAAATGTAGGGTAGCATTACATAGAATATAGGGTAGCATTACAAAGAACATACGGTAGCATTACATAAAATGTAGGGTAGCATTACATAGAATATAGGGTAGCATTACATAGAACATACGGTAGCATTACATAGAATATAGGGTAGGATTACATAGAATATAGGATAGCATTACATAAAATAAAGGGTAGCATTACATAGAATATAGGGTAGCATTACATACAATATAGGGTAGCATTACATAGAATAAAGGGTAGCATTACATAAAATATAGGGAAGCATTACATAGAATATAGGGTAGCATTACATAGAATATAGGATAGCATTACATAGAATATAGGGTAGCATTACATAGAACATAGGGTAGCATTACATAGAACATACGGTAGCATTACATAGAATATAGGGTAGCATTACATAGAATATAGGATAGCATTACATAAAATAAAGGGTAGCATTACATAGAATATAGGGTAGCATTACATAGAATATAGGATAGCATTACATAGAATAAAGGGTAGCATTACATAGAATAAAGGGTATTATTACATAGAATATAGGGTAGCATTACATAGAATATAGGGTACCATTACATAAAATATAGGGTAGCATTACATAAAATATAGAGTAGCATTACATAGAATATAGGGTAGCATTACATAGAATATAGGGTAGCATTACATAGAATAAAGGGTATTATTACATAGAATATTGCATATCGTAACTTTGAAATATATTGTGCTTCTTTACCTTGAAAATCACATATGACTTTACAATATCTACAAATGTTCAGAATAATGTGGAACATTTGTCTTTTCAGGTGAAGATGTCTTTGACGATGCTGACAAAATTCCAAGTTGTACGTACTTAAACAAGTCTATGTGTTATGTGTTAAAAACATGATGTACTAATAAACCAGAGCCCGTTTTTTCATGAAACCCTTCTCATGCTCAAGCATGAACTCTCTATCAAACCAGCTTTTTGTAACTCTCTTATAGCATGTCAAACGATCACAAAGTCAAAGGTTAACACTGAAAATAGTATTCAGCGTGCAGTCTTACCAAATAACTGACAACATATTTCTTTAACTAATTTATATCTGAAACAAGAGATAAGGCTTTAGCACAAATTCCATGCTTGAGCATGTGAACGGTTACATGACTACAGGCTCCAATATGCTGTATAATACTTCTGATAACGATATTCACCCTTCTATTCTGTATACTTATACTTCTGATAACGATATTCTCCCTTCTATTCTGTATACTTATACTTCTGATAACAATATTCTCCCTTCTATTCTGAATACTTATACTTCTGATAACGATATTCTCCCTTCTATTCTGTATACTTATACTTCTGATAACGATATGCTCCCTTCTATTCTGTATACTTATACTTCTGATAACGATATTCTCCCTTCTATTCTGTATACTTATACTTCTGATAACGATATTCTCCCTTCTATTCTGTATACTTATACTTCTGATAACGATATTCTCCCTTCTATTCTGTATACTTATACTTCTGATAACGATATTCTCCCTTCTATTCTGTATACTTATACTTCTGATAACGATATTCTCCCTTCTATTCTGTATACTTATACTTCTGATAACGATATTCTCCCTTCTATTCTGTATACTTATACTTCTGATAACGATATTCTCCCTTCTATTCTGTATACTTATACTTCTGATAACGATATTCTCCCTTCTATTCTGTATACTTATACTTCTGATAACGATATTCTCCCTTCTATTCTGTATACTTATACTTCTGATAACGATATTCTCCCTTCTATTCTGTATACTTATACTTCTGATAACGATATTCTCCCTTCTATTCTGTATACTTATACTTCTGATAACGATATTCTCCCTTCTATTCTGTATACTTATACTTCTGATAACGATATTCTCCCTTCTATTCTGTATACTTATACTTCTGATAACGATATTCTCCCTTCTATTCTGTATACTTATACTTCTGATAACGATATTCTCCCTTCTATTCTGTATACTTATACTTCTGATAACGATATTCTCCCTTCTATTCTGTATACTTATACTTCTGATAACGATATTCTCCCTTCTATTCTGTATACTTATACTTCTGATAACGATATTCTCCCTTCTATTCTGTATACTTATACTTCTGATAACGATATTCTCCCTTCTATTCTGTATACTTATACTTCTGATAACGATATTCTCCCTTCTATTCTGTATACTTATACTTCTGATAACGATATTCTCCCTTCTATTCTGTATACTTATACTTCTGATAACGATATTCTCCCTTCTATTCTGTATACTTATACTTCTGATAACGATATTCTCCCTTCTATTCTGTATACTTATACTTCTGATAACGATATTCTCCCTTCTATTCTGTATACTTATACTTCTGATAACGATATTCTCCCTTCTATTCTGTATACTTATACTTCTGATAACGATATTCTCCCTTCTATTCTGTATACTTATACTTCTGATAACGATATTCTCCCTTCTATTCTGTATACTTATACTTCTGATAACGATATTCTCCCTTCTATTCTGTATACTTATACTTCTGATAACGATATTCTCCCTTCTATTCTGTATACTTATACTTCTGATAACGATATTCTCCCTTCTATTCTGTATACTTATACTTCTGATAACGATATTCTCCCTTCTATTCTGTATACTTATACTTCTGATAACGATATTCTCCCTTCTATTCTGTATACTTATACTTCTGATAACGATATTCTCCCTTCTATTCTGTATACTTATACTTCTGATAACGATATTCTCCCTTCTATTCTGTATACTTATACTTCTGATAACAATATTCTCCCTTCTATTCTGTATACTTTTACTTCTGATAACGATATTCTCCCTTCTATTCTGTATACTTATACTTCTGATAACGATATTCTCCCTTTTATTCTGTATACTTATACTTCTGATAACGATATTTTCCCTTTTATTCTGTATACTTATACTTCTGATAACGATATTCTCCCTTCTATTCTGTATACTTATACTTCTGATAACGATATTCTCCCTTTTATTCTGTATACTTATACTTCTGATAAGGCTCCTACTGTCTGACCACTGACATACGTCTAAGTACACTATTTTCCCGTAGTTTTATCCAAACAAAGACCTAGCTTTACAAAAATGTAATGATGACTAAATTGGTTTATTTAAGTATGAGGGGCATAACTGCAGATTTGGGACATTAAAAGATATCAGATACCAAATAAGGGCAGAGAGACCATATTATAAGGTTATAGATGGGGTAAGCAATTCCACGTTAAGCAAACTTCGTAGCATGCGTGATCCCCTAGACACCTGCGTAACCTAACGCATGTGTCAAAAATACTTTACCTGTTTTACCTTGCTGATCATTTGCCCTTTGGTATATATAAACCCATTATTTTTCTTGTTGGACCCCTTTTTTGCACACAAATCAGTATTGGCCTTCTGGGCCATTTGCAAGATTTGAGATCAAAGCTTTCCTTCTTGACACATCATTGCCTTAGGGCGTTGTCTCCGCAGGCATATTTGGCTAGCGGGTTGTATAAGTCATACGACTGGGTTGTATAACATTTCATAGACACAAAAAATGATAAAAAAGAACCTACTTTAGACCGATTCATATTGTGTGCGGAGCAGGAACGATAACTCTGGGTAAAGATTACAACTCAAGTTATAAGTTTAAATACCGAGCACACGTCCTAATGGACTAGTAAACTAGCTGTTAAATAAACCATCGATTCGGAGTATATTAACCCGAACCCTGTCTGCGTCGAATATTCCCATAATGACACCGTCCCGTGACAATTATTGTAATAACCATTCTTTTTGTTTATAGAGATCGCTGACTGTTTGAATTAAGAAAGATTATATTTCAAGACAATGCCAGTGATATATACAGTAGATATGACAGTTTAAGTGTGTTCCCTAAAAAATATTTCATAAACATGTTAAGTATGTATGGTCTGGGATTCTAAAAATTACCCTACTATAAAGGACATAGACCATTAATACAACATAAATAGAATAAAATCAAAGTATCCAATACCGACCGCTAGGCCGTTCTGCCTTCTTGAACTTCTTCAGGCGTAACCTTTCACGTGATTCAATTATTGTACATGCAATGTAAAGGAATGAGCGGTTGTAACCATCGTTAGTGCAGTTGTTGTCAATAGGGTCTATCGGAAGTGTTTAGATTCAGGCGTATGGGGATTTGGTGAACACAAACGTTCCTGTAGCCTAGAGCTTCCCGGGGTCTTGGCGGTGTGTTGGACAGAAACGTTCGTGTAGCATGTATGTGTATAACCCTGTATATAATGTACATGTATGTGTATAACCCTGTATATAATGTACATGTATGTGTATAACCCTGTATATAATGTGCATGTATGTTTATGACCCTGTATATAATGTACATAATCTCCGGGTAGCTGTTATGATCAGAAACGTTTCTACCTACAAATCTGTGTAGAATGTGTGGTAAACAGAAACTTTCCTGTTGTCTATAGCTTCACTGGTCCAAATATGTCTGGGGTGAATAGAAATGTTCTTATATAGTATTCGTCTAGGAGACGATGTAAACAAACCCGTTCCTGAATGCTGTTCTGTAATAATTCTTATGTCCATTCCAGTCCTGAAACTCTGTGAGAAGAAAAACTGCAAATATGGAGGTGTCTGCGTTCGAACGGGAGATGAAAATGTTGACTGCGCATGCCCAGTGCAGTGCGGAAATGAGTTTGGGAATCAGCTGTGTGGCTCTGACGGGTCACTCTACCCCAGTCCTTGTCACATGGAACAACAGGCGTGCGAACAACAACAAAACATCACCCGCGCTGATTACCGGGCATGTACGTTCATTTTTTTACTTATTTTAATCATATTCCTAATCTTAAAAAAAACCCAGGGAAAGTCCAGTGCCGAGAGTAGAAAGATAATATTATTTTTATGATTGAGGATACCTAGTTGTCTAAGATAAAAACAGAAATAAAAACAAATATGTGTCGTTGTGATATTGCGATGAATACATAATTAACATAATTGCAGAAACATGCTGTATAGTCTAGTATGCTGGTATATCACTTACTGTTCCATGTGTAAAGACATGCTTTATAGTTTAGGATGCTGGTATATCATTTACTGTACCTCGTGTAAAGACATGCTTTATAGTCTAGGATGCTGGTATATCACTTACTGTACCTCGTGTAAAGACATGCTGTATAGTCTAGTATGCTGGTATATCACTTACTGTACCTCGTGTAAAGACATGCTTTGTAGTCTAGGATGCTGGTATATGATTTACTGTACCTCGTGTAAAGACATGCTTTATAGTCTAGTATGCTGGTATATCACTTACTGTACCTCGTGTAAAGACATGCTTTATAATCTAGCATGCTGTTATATCACTCACTGTACCTCATGTAAAGACATGCTGTATAGTCTAGTATGCTGGTATAGCACTTACTGTACCTCGTGTAAAGACATGCTTTATAGTCTAGAATGCTTGTATATCATTTACTGTACCTCGTGTAAAGACATGCTTTATAGTCTAGAATGCTTGTATATCATTTACTGTACCTCGTGTAAAGACATGCTTTATAGTCTAGAATGCTTGTATATCATTTACTGTACCTCGTGTAAAGACATGCTGTATAGTCTAGTATGCTGGTATATCAATTACTGTATCTCGTGTAATGACATGCTCTATAGTCTAGGTTGCTATTATATCACTTACTGTTTCTCCTGTCAAGACATTCTACAAGTTACTGACGAAAGCACTCATTGTCTCTGTGGTGTCCAGCAGCAGATGTCACACTGTCACTTTAGAACCTCGCTCACCTTTTCTCCAATTTCCTTCCGAATTTGTCTTTCTAAAGTCATTGGTTTCGCTCGTTGGTAGAGTTTTAAGGTTTACATTGTAAGAGTACATGCCTAGCAATGAACATGTTCAATTTCAATTGATGTCGACTCGGTTCAAGTGTGGAATCATTTATATCTTACAGGTTCGCCATATGAGACTTTCTGCGAGGAGAACACAGGTAACTACTGATTAGCTGCCAGTACAAACTGTTGTTGGCGCTATTCGTGTAACAAACGCCAAATTGGACAGAAAAAATATCCATGTCCTTATCTAATGAAGAAAAGTGACCAAGCTCTTTTTTTTTTATTAATTTATGTTGTTTTTTTATCATTTTCTAAAGAAATCGATTAATATACAGAACATATTCACAAAAAGAATTGTTCGCGAATCACAGCTATCAATGTGGTTAAGTCAAGAATATTGCTTCTTTGAAAGTAAATTTAGGGAGGGTTTAGCAATTCTAATGTATTGGTCAGCATGTCATACAACAGTCATAACGCTCACGTGAATGTCAGGTAGACGGTTTACATAATCATACTGCCGACGTCTTGATTTTTTAATAAGAACTGCATTGTACCACAAGCAGACTTCGACATTGATTTCGAACACTTGCATCGCGTTTGACGTTTCCGGATGCTGGGAACAGTCGGAAGCTAAAACAACAGTCTGCTGTCATGTCTTGTCTAAACATAGAATATATATTTATGTAGTTTTGTCGAGGTGCACTGTATTGTGAGAAGAAATGTATTGGCTAAGAGTACGGGGTTTTATATACTACGCAATTGGAACAAGACTACAAGTATCTCTTATTCTTTGTTAATTAAATTGCTTTACTTGGGCAGCGCCATCTTGGAGCTCGTGGTCAATATGGCTACAGTCAGGAAGTACTGACTTCCGGGTTCGGTATTGCAAGATCGGGGGCAGTGTTGCTGAAACCCAGGCCAACTGTGGGAACGACAGGATCGAGGTCCGACCCTGTAAGAAACGGGACGTGATGCCTTGCAGCTCGGAATTCGGCGAGGAAAGTCAACAGTACGAGTACGAATGTGCAGGAACGGATATGCAGGATGTGCAAGCAATCGGTCAGTACACGGGTCATAGGTCAAGTTTTAAAGACTGTTGAACAGGTCGTTAAGGTCAGTAAAGGGGTTCAAAGGTCAAATATAGATTTACAGAATGTCGCTCCTCCTACCCCTGCACCTGCATCAATACTTCTAGTACAGACAGCCACAGAGGTAGATATAGCTACANTGTTTAGTATGCTGGTATATCACTTAGTGTATCTCGTGTAAAGACATGCTGTATAGTCTAGGATGCTGGTATATCATTTACTGTACCTTGTGTAAAGACATGCTGTATAGTCTAGGATGCTGGTATATCACTTACTGTACCTCGTTTAAAGACATGCTGTATAGTCTAGTATGCTGGTATATCAATTACTGTATCTCGTGTAATGACATGCTCTATAGTCTAGGTTGCTATTATATCACTTACTGTTTCTCCTGTCAAGACATTCTACAAGTTACTGACGAAAGCACTCATTGTCTCTGTGGTGTCCAGCAGCAGATGTCACACTGTCACTTTAGAACCTCGCTCACCTTTTCTCCAATTTCCTTCCGAATTTGTCTTTCTAAAGTCATTGGTTTCGCTCGTTGGTAGAGTTTTAAGGTTTACATTGTAAGAGTACATGCCTAGCAATGAACATGTTCAATTTCAATTGATGTCGACTCGGTTCAAGTGTGGAATCATTTATATCTTACAGGTTCGCCATATGAGACTTTCTGCGAGGAGAACACAGGTAACTACTGATTAGCTGCCAGTACAAACTGTTGTTGGCGCTATTCGTGTAACAAACGCCAAATTGGACAGAAAAAATATCCATGTCCTTATCTAATGAAGAAAAGTGACCAAGCTCTTTTTTTTTTATTAATTTATGTTGTTTTTTTATCATTTTCTAAAGAAATCGATTAATATACAGAACATATTCACAAAAAGAATTGTTCGCGAATCACAGCTATCAATGTGGTTAAGTCAAGAATATTGCTTCTTTGAAAGTAAATTTAGGGAGGGTTTAGCAATTCTAATGTATTGGTCAGCATGTCATACAACAGTCATAACGCTCACGTGAATGTCAGGTAGACGGTTTACATAATCATACTGCCGACGTCTTGATTTTTTAATAAGAACTGCATTGTACCACAAGCAGACTTCGACATTGATTTCGAACACTTGCATCGCGTTTGACGTTTCCGGATGCTGGGAACAGTCGGAAGCTAAAACAACAGTCTGCTGTCATGTCTTGTCTAAACATAGAATATATATTTATGTAGTTTTGTCGAGGTGCACTGTATTGTGAGAAGAAATGTATTGGCTAAGAGTACGGGGTTTTATATACTACGCAATTGGAACAAGACTACAAGTATCTCTTATTCTTTGTTAATTAAATTGCTTTACTTGGGCAGCGCCATCTTGGAGCTCGTGGTCAATATGGCTACAGTCAGGAAGTACTGACTTCCGGGTTCGGTATTGCAAGATCGGGGGCAGTGTTGCTGAAACCCAGGCCAACTGTGGGAACGACAGGATCGAGGTCCGACCCTGTAAGAAACGGGACGTGATGCCTTGCAGCTCGGAATTCGGCGAGGAAAGTCAACAGTACGAGTACGAATGTGCAGGAACGGATATGCAGGATGTGCAAGCAATCGGTCAGTACACGGGTCATAGGTCAAGTTTTAAAGACTGTTGAACAGGTCGTTAAGGTCAGTAAAGGGGTTCAAAGGTCAAATATAGATTTACAGAATGTCGCTCCTCCTACCCCTGCACCTGCATCAATACTTCTAGTACAGACAGCCACAGAGGTAGATATAGCTACATGTGAATCAATACTACTAGTACAGACAGCCACAGATCTAGAGGTAGATATAGTAACATGTAAATCAATACC